TTTTGAATGATTTTATCCCTTTGAAGAGCCAAGTCTTAAGATTATTTGATGCTTTATATTGTTGTTTTTAGTTTCAATTTTATCAATTACTGCTTTGATGTTTATAATTTCTTTTCTGTTGAATTTGGATTGTTCATGTTCTCTGAAGACTCTGAGATGCATCACTAGGTTATTTATTTGGGATTACTGTTTTTTTCTAATGTAGGTCCTCTTAGAAATGCTTTCCATGTTCAGGTTTTGATAGGTTGTGCTGCAGTTGTCATTTGGTTCTAGGAATATTATAATTTCTTATTAATATTTCCTGTACCCCATTGTTTATTCAAGGGTGTATTATTTTCCATGATCTTTCATAGTTTGTGTAGTTTATTTTGTCATCAATTTCTTGTTTTGTTGTACTATGATCAAATATTAAGCATTAAGCAATTTCAATTCATTTGCATTTATTTACACATGCTTTATGGCCTAAGATGTGGTCTGTTTTATAGAAAGCTCCATGTATTTCTGGGAAAAATGTGTATTCTACTGTGGTTAGATGAAATACTCTGTAATTATCTGTTATGTTTTTTCTACAGTATGGTTCAACTCTCATATTCTTTATTGATATTTTACATGGTGACCTTTGTATAAATGTTATATTGAAGTCACCAACTGTGATTGTGTTGATGTTTTTCTGATCTTTTAGGTCAGGTATTGTTTTATAAAATTTGTTTGCCAGCATTTGGTGTTTATATATTTACAATTTTTATCTCTTCCTGTTGAATTGTTCACTTTATCCATATGTAGTGACCTTCTTTTTCTCTGATCAGTTTTGGCTTAAAGTCCACTTTTCTGAAAGCAGGATAGTTACTCCTACTTGCTAGTGTCCTCCTATTGTATGAATTATAATTTTCTATTATTTCGTTTTCAGTCTATGCCTTCCTTATGAATGTTGTGAGTAACATATAGCTGGGATTTGATTTTTTTTTGTACCAGGGTTTGAATTTGGGACCTTGTGCTTGTGAGGCATGCAGCGGAACCACTGAACTAAATCCCTGGCCCTGGGTTTTGATTTTGATCCAATCTGTTAATCTGTGTCTTTTGATTAGATAATGAAGATCACTTACATTTAGAGTTGTTACTGAAAGGTATTATTGAATCATTGCATTGCATTATTTTTCTACTCTCAATACCTTTATTTTTCCCTTTTGCTTAACTACTCACCCTGTTGCATATTTTCTTTCCTTTGGGTTCTTTGGTGCTGTGAGATTCACTGTCCCTGTGTAGGATTCCTTTGAGTATTTTCTGAATGCAAGGTTAGTTATCATGAATTTAAGGTGCTCTTTGTCCTGAAAAGTATTTATTTCTCTGTCGATTTTAAAAGACAGTTTTACATAATATATTAATGTGGATTGAAAGTTGTTTTATTTCAGGCCTTACAAAGCTTTTTTCCAATCTCTTGTGGCCTTTAAGATTTGTGTTTAGAAATTTGCTCTTGGCTTACCATTATAAGTTATTTGATTTCTTTTTCTAACAGCTTTTAGTATGCTTTCTTTGTGCTAGATTTCTGGAATTTTAACTATGATGTGTTGTGGAGATGCTCTTTTCTGTTCATGGGTGCTATATGTCTCATTTACCTGGAAATTTAATTCTTTCTCTAACTTGGAAAATTTTTTGCAGTAATTTGGTAAGTAAATTGTTATACTTTCTATTTCCTCTTCTAAACTTCCCTTGATGCCTTTAATTGTTAGGTTAGGTTTTAAGTAAATTAATAGCTGTTGAAACTAATTTCCAAGGCATCTTGTTGCTTTTAAGGTATCACTGTGTATATAACCTACCACTACATCAATTATTTCTTCTCGCTCTGATATTCCCTCCTCACATTAGTCATGATTTATGTTTTCTTTTCATGATCTCTAATTGTTTAGTAAGATCATCATGTTTATGTTATATTGTCTCATTTAATATCCTCAAAATTTTGTCTATGTCTTCTTAAACTCATGGATCATTTCAATCCATTAACTTCTTTATCTATGTACATCCTTTTCAGCTTGATGAACATCTTATGGATCTGTTTCTTTCTTTCTTCTGTGATATCTTCAAATATTTTAACCATTTGGTTTTTTACTTCCTCCAATTCAGTGTCTAGCAGATAAATTTCTGGGGAGTTAAGAATTTTTGTAGACATGTTGTTGCCTTATTTTCTCATATTTCTTCTGTTTTCATGCAGAAGGTTGAGGATCAGTTATAATAGACAAACTTTGTTGTTAGTGTGGAGCTCTATTTAGTTAGTGTTCATTTTTCTGTGATGTAATGTTGACTTTGATCATGTTTTGGTATTTATACACCTCTTCCACTTAGCCTAATAGAATCAGTTCTAGTCTCTGCATTGAGAGAAGAATACTGCTACCAATTATATTGGCATTTTCAGAACCAATCATATACAAATCATGTAATTTAAAGCTTTTGTAAAAATATTATACTCTTTTTTAATAAATCAGAAAGACTGCTGTCAGAATGTAGAGGATGAGGGAAGGTAAAAGGAAGGAAACAGATCTGAAAAAGAGAAAGGAGATAAAGCAGATAACATCAAAAGAAAGAAAATAGGTAGGACTTCATTGATATTATTTTTATATCTAGAATGGAGGGCTGATGGAAAGGAAGTTTGAGAGACTATTTTTGAGGGTATGAAAAAGAATGAGAGAGCCAAGTATAACTGAAGATTGATGGAAGCTGTGAGAAGGTCAGAACCAGTTAATACATTGATTTTTTTTTTAAAGATAGGAAAAATACTCATACAAAAACACAAAAGTAAAGAGTTTTCTCAGTCTTATAGTATTTCAGTCAGAATTCAGTCGCTGTTCTCTTCTGTTTACTTGTATAAATGGAGAGACTTTGACTGGGGAGGCAGATGTCGAGACTGACCACTGAGCTTGCTTCCTTTTTTCTACAATCAGTGCTTTGCTTGGTTTCAATCTAGTTTCTATGGGCATGGCCAGCCAGATAGATCTTTGTTAATTCATATTCTTTAGAATAAAAACTTAAATATCCTGTGCATTATATTATCACTAAGCATATGGAACAACTAAAAATCTCCTTTAAGAGAGCACTGTTATTGGCTGGGAATGTAGATTTATCTTAGTGGTTCCTCTGCCTGCCTTGCAAGTGCAAGGACCCGAGTTCAATTCCCCATTACCAAGAGAGAGAGAGAGAGAGAGAGAGAGAGAGAGAGAGAGAGAGAGAGAAACTGTTGCTCAATTATACCTGAATTATCAAAACTGAAATATCAGTTGTCTTTTCTTAGTTTCTGCTATATAATTAACAGACAAAATCTATGACATATAACAAGTAGATAGCAAAGATGTAGTTTAAACACAACAAACTCCAGAATAGTCTGAGATCCTGTTAATTCAATCTAATACGCAAAAGGAATTCTAAGATTGAAATTATGGGCCCTATTTACAATTCTGCAATTTATTAGCTGTGATATTATAAATAAATCATTCTTTTTCTGGGCATCTTTTTTGTGTCTTACCTTCAAAATTTCTAAGGTCAATGATAAAAGTTGATGATGATAACAATAATTACATAATAATGGTAGCAATAACAGTCTATTACTAATTTACTTTTCACCACATAATTTTAATTTACACACATTATTGTATTTACTCCTCATAGCAAACCAATAAAACCTATATCTAATTTGACAAATGAGGAAAGTGAGGCTTATAAAGGATTTTAATCACTGTTTTCTCAAGATCATAGAATAAGAGTCAGTGTATAATTAAAGTAGAACATAGAATATATGTTTTCTAGATCTGAAGCACCAATCTTTTTAATTTCATGTTCTGTTTCTTTTTCCTCATTGAGTTTATTGGTACATTTCAGGTATACAGTACAGTTACATTCATTACTGGGATCTTGTACCTTTACATGACAGGTCTTGGTTCTCATTTTTTCCCTTTGTCCCTGCCCTCCCTTCACCCTCTGTCCCCCTCCCCCTTTACAAACATTTCATTTCCATTTCTTCATTTTCTCATGTTTTTCTTTTCCCTTATTAGCTTTCCCCTACCCTTCCCACTTTCCATACACCTTTAGCCCCTTTTCTCCTATTTCACATTGTCCATTTTATCATTAGGATCTTATGTACTATTACAGTTTATTCACACCAGAGAAACTATTCGGTATTTACACCTGTGTGACTTATTTATTTCACTTAGGAGTATATCTTCAATATGTATCCATTTTCCTATGAATGAATCTAATTTCTCATTCTTTATGGCTGAGTAATATTCCATTTTATAGGAAAATCACATATTTATCCAGTTTTCAACTGATGGGCAAATGTGCTGTTTCCAAGTTTTAGCTATTGCAAACTGTGCCGCTATAAACATAGGTGTGCATATATCTCTGAGATATGATTCTTTTAATTCTTTTGGAAAAATACCCAGCAGAGGGATGGCTGGGTCAAATGGAACCTCTAATCCCAGCTCTTTGAGGTATCTCCATATTGATTTCCATAGTGGGTGCACCAGTCTGCACTCTCATGCTCTATTTTTATAAGCCCAATAATTCTGCCCCTCCCCATGTCTCTAATATGCCTCCTGGCACTGAAATTCACTACTTATATTATTTTATAATTTTGTAGCTACACCTTCAGTAGTATAGTATTATTATTTATTTAGATACCAAAATGCTTGTTGAATCATGAAAGATTAATTAACACTCATTGTAGTTATAGTGTCAAAATTAACTGAAATATCTATTTACTTATAACAAGCAACACCCTGGCCTATGTAGGCAAGTATTTGGATGGTCACAGCTGTCTGGTCAAATGAAAATAGAATTCAGAGCAAATTTTGCAAATGAAATAGTATGCAAATTAACACACCACTAATTAAAGCCAGTAGAATTTAAATTATTGTGTGAAAAAACACATGAAATTTTAAATAATGTATTCAGTTGTTTTTCTTTATTAGCATTATTTATTTCCAGTTGTGATTTGTGATATGTGTGTGTTTCAGGAATGCTATCCTCAGGTTCAATGTCATCATCACATTGTCCAACAGCCCCCGATCACCCACTCCCCACACTGTCAACAATTCCATTCTAGCCAACAAATCAAAAGTATTACAGAAAGTGATGCAACTTCTACAAGCCTTGGAAATGAACTTTGCCATGGTGGGTCAAGCCAGATACATGAGCAGGTAAGATCAGCTGATTCCTTGTCAAAGTAAAATAACATTCTTAAACCCTTCTCACACCACTATGCAAGTACTTATATTTTTTACTCTTTTATTTATCTCTCTTCCACAGTGATACTACACAATATATATTCCTTTCTGGTATTGGTGGCCTTTTAATTTTTTTTTATTTTAATGTTTATTAGTACATTACATTTGCATCAAAATAATGAGGAGTTATATCACTGGTATTTGCATTATAGCATTTTTAAAATAAATACTTTCATCTCCTCTCAAAAGGCAAAACAATTCATATTCAATAATACATTAAATCTGTGTGGGAAAGTATGATTTCTTCAAAATTTACCTAATTTTAAGCTTATCCTCAGTTCCAAACTGAGCCCTAAAATAGTACAACATAAAATATTTTCATAAATTATGGTACTTAAATGAATAATGAATTAGAAATGGTAGTACCTAAGATTATTGTAATGGTAACTTTCACAGGCCAGTAATTATTTCCTGTATATTTTCTTTGAGAATATGTTATACTAATTCAGGCAAAAATATGCTTATGTATTTTTGCATATTCAATAAAATAGAAACTAACATTTAGTTGCTAAGGTGAAATCTCCTGGGATTAAAAAATATCCTCCGTGAATAATTTATGTTATGAAGGCTTTGGAATCATGTAAACTGCTATACAAGTGTTAAAGAGAAATGTTTTCTTTTATGTGATAAATCTAGCATTAGTAATTGAAACAGTTGAGCATAAGACATCATCTGTGTTTATTCATACCTCAGATTGATCTCTTTTATAGGCAATTTTTACTAGGGAAAAATTAGAAAAAAAATAAAGATGCAACCTTCCAATATAAGAACTTAACTTGTTTAATACGAAATATAATGTGATTATTTCTAAAGACTGAGACTTTGAAATGTGTATTTTGGCCACATTGATCAAAAGAACTATAAATGATTTTTAAAATCCATGTCTTTCAAATCTAAAAGTAAACCCTAATTGTCATTCTTCTGAGTGTTGTTGTGGGAATATTAGCCTCTAGAATAATTCTAAAACATAATCCAGAGTTTGTGTAATTTCTTACATTAAATGGATTAGTGATTACTATAAAAGAACCATTTCATTAGATTAAGTTATATGAAATTGTCACTTTCATAGGTCAACACTGATCAGGTATCAACAATTTCAGAGTTGAATCCTTAATTTCACCTTAGTTTCCTCTAGTAGGGGAAAATAGCAAGCGCATAAAGTATAATTCAAATAAAACTGTTGTCTGCCACAAAAAAGGAAATAACATACTTTGGAAACAGAGAGAGAAGAATATAATTTCATCTGGGAGACCAAAGAAGGGTTTTTTGATGTTACAATTTAAATCTAAAATGTTCCCCATAAATGTTATGTATTCAGAAGTTGGGCTTTTGGAAGGACATTTGATTGTGCAGTGGAAGAATCCATTGATAAGTTCATAGCTCAATGTGCTGTTGGGATTGGTTGAAAGAGTTAGGTCACTGGGAGCATAATATCGAAGGGTATATTCTTGTCCCTGATCTTTCCACTGTCTTTAACTCCTGGCTTCCAAGGGTTGAGCCACTTTTCTCCACTAGGCCTTTCCACCATGCCATTTCAGCTTTGGAACTCCTGGGAATTTACTGAACCCTCTGAAATTCTGAGCCAAATATACCTCTCCTTTTTTTTTTCATTGAGTTTATTGGTACATTTTAGTTATACAGAAGTTATATTCATCATTGGGATCTTGTACCTTTACATGACAGGTCTTGGTTCTCATTTTTTTCCCATAACCTCTCCTTTTTAAATTGCAAGTGTCAGGCATTTTGTCCTAGTGATAGGAAAGCCATGACAGTTGAGAAGGTGGGCATTGAAATATGGGCATTATTTCCCCATTTGATATTGTGGCATTGCTTCGGGATAATATCCAGGTAAGAGGAAATCACAGGAACAAAACTATAGATTTGGGTTTCAGAAATAGTAGTTGGAGTTTTATAATATGGAAGACATATGATAAGCAGATGCTGTGATAGGATGTAGCATTAACATGATACATTAAGGACAGATCATGAAAACCTTAAGTGTTTTACCATAGATAAGGTAAAAACTTTGAGCTTTTTAAAGTAAGCAAGTGGAGAGTTGGTGAAGGTTATTGAGTAAAACAATACTGAGAGGTGTGCTTTATAAGATTAATATTAGTAGCTTTGTGCAAGATAATCTAGCATATTCATTTTTTCTAAAAAATAAAATTAATAGGTTGCTATTTCTGTTTATTGTTCAGGAAAGTAAATTGAGGTTTTTAGTGGTTAGGTTATTGCAAAGGCAGAAACAGTTACCTTGTGATAGAGGCAGAACTATAGAGCCCATTGATAATTCCTCCTTGAATCTGAGTTAGTTATGGGGAGAGTTCTTGATCAGCAATATAAACATTACTGGATCAAGAGTAAGAAGAGTCTGACAATGGGAGTTATTCATTATATAATAGAAAGCGGACTAGTTTCAATATAAGAAAATCTGGATTACAGTCCTAGGTATGTTCCCATTGAGCTATCTGACTTTAATAATACTAAGCCGTTCTGCCACATCCTCATTCATAACATTTAGGCAGAGGGGCAGAGGGTGTAGCTCAGTGGTGCCATGCCTGACTGGCAAGTGCAAGGTCTTGAGTTTGATCCCCAGTAGTGAAAAAAAGTTTTTAAAAAATCGGAGTAGTAATGTTTATTTCACAGGGTAAAGACTAAATGAAATTTGCGCTGAAATATTTTTCATGCAACTACAAAGTCCACAACATCAAAATATTGTCATGGGGAAAAATTTGTGAAGAGAATAAAATTTAAACAAGAACAGTAATAGTGGGAGTGGGTGAGGGACAGCTATCAGAAATAGGAATATCACAACATTAATAATTTTTCCTAGTGGCAACAGTAATGCTATGATATTTCAATGATTTAATAAATCTAATAATGCCTGAGTAGAAAACATTATCACCTACTTAGAAAATGAGTGGAGTTGGGTAACTAATCTGTAACTTTCTTTCTTTTTTTTTAATTTGAGTTTATTGGTACATTTTAGGTATACAGTACAGTTACATTCATTATTGGGATCTTGCACCATTACATGACAACTAATCTGTAACTTTCTATTTTACTACCCTTTATGCATTTTGAGATTCCTATGTACCTTTGTTAAAGACTGAAAGCCTTGTTAAGATACAATTTTCTGCCTTTTCAGTATTTTATCATAAATTAGAGGTATACAGAGCCACCCACAGGCAAAGAAGGACAGGGAGAAAGTTCTTTAACCTGTAATTCTTAGTGTTTACATGTCCACTGTAGTTGTGACGTGTGGGTGGAAGAAACTGTTAAAGGGGTAATAGAGCAGATGTTAAACAAATGTCGGCAGCTTTTTAAACTTTATACTTCACGTTGTAATTTGGAGGTAACATGGGAATGCAGAAAGGACAAAAGCTTTCAATCAGTTATTTGAGTTTATAAATCATGATTCTGCTGGGCTACAAGATCTGAAGCAATAAACTGGATTAACTTCAATTTATTATTTTATAATAGGGAAAGAATTGAACTTAGGTACATAATATATCATACAAGAAAATGATTAAATGAGACAAAGTATCTAAACTACCTAAATGCCAAGCATATACAGGATGTGCAAACAAATGTATGGTTCTTGACCTTTCTCCTTCAATGTGAAACCCCATTTATTTCAAAGTATCAATATAGGAAATTGATTCCACTGTAATACTATATATTTGTGTTATTAGAGACCCAATCCAGGGCCTTTTCTATGGTAAACGTGTGCTGTATCACTAGTCTATGTGCTCAGTTCCTGTGACATTACTTTTGTATAAAACAAAATTGGATTTATAATGCTTTCCCCAAAGCAAAAGGCATCATTTTTTAAAATCTGACATCCAGCCTTCAGAATATTTTTATATAACTAATGTATTATGTTTTCCATGGTCAACCCTAGCAGTATCACTTTTTGGTTTTTTTTTTTGTTTTGTTTTGTTTTGTTTTGGTTTTGGTTTTTTGAGACAGGGTGTCACTGTGTAGTTGAGACTGACCTGGAACTATGTAGCCCAGGCTGGTCTTGAACTCACAGTGATTCTCCTGCCTCAGCCTCCTGAGTGCTGGGATTACAGGTGTGTGCCACCACGCCCGGCTCACTTTGGTTTTAATCAAAATATCTCCAGTCATATATCATTTCCTAGGGAAATTACAAATACAGTGATGTGCTCATTTTCCTGCCCTAGTAATGAGTGGATAATTTCACACATGCTAGTGACAGGGAAAAGCTCAGCTGAATTTATTTTACATGTTGTCATACAGGTGATGCTTCTATGAAAGAATCAAATAAATGTTTATATTGTGTGTGTAGTTCTCTTCCACTAGGATTGAGGACTCTGGACTTTTTGGAGTTATTGAAAGTTGTGAAAGGAATGTTCATGCTCACTTCAAAAATAGTACTTTTGCCAGTGGAATACTACTCTAAGTTGGGATGTAATATCTTTCCTCCATCAATTAAACATTCAATTTTATCAGTATCAATATAGCACAGCTCTTAGCATCAGATGCTATTCCAGGCAGATCCAGAGGAAGTTTATTAAAATTTTTATTTTACATATGTCATAGTAATGGTAGAATTTGGTGGCTGGTTACTTCAATAAACTAAGCACTCTCACAAACATGTGACTCAAATCTTTATATTCACTGTCTTCAGGATTCCTATCATTGAACTTATTCCTATTGTTTCTTTTGTGTAGTCTTCTATCCCTCCTATCCTTTTCAAAAATGTAATTCATGGGCCAAGGATTTGGCTCAGTAATGCCATGCCTGCCTTACAAGTGCAAGGTCCTGAGTTCGATCTCCAGTATCAAAAAAAAATTTCTTTAAATTCATATCTGTGTGGGGCCTATGATTTCCCAATACCACTTTGTGTGTCTCCTGCAACCTCATGGAATGTTGCCTTTTTAAACTTT